AGTTTTATTGATTTTACAGAGATGAAGGGAGACGGATAGAAAGAAACATCAATCAGCTGCCTCCTGCATGCCCCCTACTGAGAGTCAAACCTGCAACCAAGGTACATGCCCTTTACTAGAATCAAACCCTTGACCCTTCAGTCCATGGGCTGACACTCTATCCACTGAGCCAAACTGATTAGGGCTCTTTTTTCTGGTATCTGAATAAGGAAGGTTAGATTATTAATTTGAGATCTTTCTTCTTTTATTGATATAGATATTTATAGCTACAAATTTAGATGCATCCCATCAGTTATAGTATGCTCTGTTTTCATTTTTATTCATTTTAAAGTATTTTCCACATGACTTCCTTTTGACCTATTGAAATGACTGTCCTACATGGTCACTGCTGCACGTGGCATCTGTCTGAGGAATGTGTCCTGTCTGCCCTGATGGTAGAACCAAAGCCTCTAAATAATGCACACTTGGTCTGAATCAGCATCTCCTCCCCCTTCCTTCCCTGTGCATGAGACACATCATGAATCAGTGTCTAATACACCACAATAACATAATCATTAGAGCTCAGGCCTAGAAATTAGATCAGCTTGTATTTAAATCAAATCTCTACCAAATTTTAGCTTTTTTTACCTTGATCAAATGATGCTCACAGTGAACATCAATTTCCTTGAACATAAAATAGAATTATTAATTCCTCTCTGAAGGGAATAATGTGAGAATTAGATAAAATACCACACTTAGCAGAGTGACATAAACACAGAATGCTCATTATATGTTAGTTCTCACTGTATCCACATTTCCTTTATCTCTTACAACTTCTCAAGGATTCTCAACTTTAGTCAGACTTTTAAGTAAAAAGAAGATCAAACACTCGTAGAAAGATTTCAGAATTATAATGACTTATGAATCAGTATTCAATACTTTAAAACATGGTCTTTCTTCTCTCCTAATTTCGGTATTTGTCCAGATTCTACCAATACTTTATCAATATAGACATAAATAGATATAGATATAGATACAGAAAAAGTGATATAGGTAGATATATAGGTATATAGGTATAGGTATAGGTATAGGTATAGGTATAGGTATAGGTATAGGTATATATATCCTATGTAATAATAGCCAAACATGGTAATTGACCGTAACTTTGCTACACCTCCCATCGGCTAATCAGCAGGATATGCAAATTAACTGCCAACAAAGATGGTGGCTAATTTGCATACTGCAGGCAGGGTGGGACAGTGCAGCCGCCAGCACAAGAGCCACCATCCAAGCCCCCATGTGTTACTCCAGAAGCCACAGGCCTACCACCAGTGATTGGATCCGACCCGGCCGCAGGCTGGCCCCAGAAGCCCCAGAAGTCACCCAGAAGCCGCCTAGAAGCCAGTGGGGGGCGGGGGGGAGGCAGCATCCCCTGCCCAGGCCTGACACCTCTGGCGGAAGCATCAGGCCTGGGCAAGGGGCCAATCCGGAGATCAGAGGGTGATGGGGGTTGACACCTATGGCCGAGGCATCAGGCCTGGGCGAGGGCAGAACCGGTGATTGGAGGGAGATGGGGGGTCCCCTGCCCAGGCCTGAGGCCTGTGCCTGAGGCGTCAGGCCTGGGCTGGGGTGGGGAGGTGCGGAGGGGTGCCAAGCTGGCGATTGGTGTTATCTACAGAGGAAACACCTTTACCGACTGCTCATTGGCTGTATGCCACTGGTAATATTCTTAGTAACTTGGGTAATAAGAATCCAAAAAGGTGACCTAGGGTTTTTCAACACACTCCTGGCGAAAAAAAAAAGAAGGTCCACTACTAGAGGGCTAAGAAATGTCATATCCTACCCTAGCCGGTTTGGCTCAGTGGATAATGCCTTGGCCAGCCTATGGCAGTGTCTGGGTTCAACTCTGATCAAGGGCATGTACCTAGGTTGCAGGCTCCTCCCTGGCCGGGGCCCAGGTCAGGGTTC